CAGCCCTGCTTCCTGCCAGCCAGTTCTCACCCCCCTCCCAGATCTCTCCTGGCCAGCCCCACTGCCCCAAACACCCCCCTCCCGGCCAGACCTGCTTCCCGCCAGCCGGTTTCTGCCGGCCAGCCTCGCTCCTCTCCTGTCTGGTCTCTTCTCTCCTCTCCCCTCCTCTCTTCCTCCTTGCCCCCCCTCCCAGCATCTGAGATCAAGTGTGTGCAGTATTTTTTTTACACCCCCCTCCCAGATCTCTCCTGGCCAGCCCCACTGCCCCAAACACCCCCCTCCCGGCCAGACCTGCTTCCCGCCAGCCGGTTTCTGCCGGCCAGCCTCGCTCCTCTCCTGTCTGGTCTCTTCTCTCCTCTCCCCTCCTCTCTTCCTCCTTGCCCCCCCTCCCAGCATCTGAGATCAAGTGTGTGCAGTATTTTTTTTAAAGCCACCTGGTAACCCTACTTCCTGGAGGTAGAGCAGGACTGAGGAAGGAAGGCAGGGCTGGGGAAGCTCTGACCAAGCAAGCTCCCAGGCTGCAGGGGCTGAGAGGGGCAGCCATGCTAGACACGGGCAGCAGGTCCACACCCCTTTGCCAGGGATGAGTGGCCATTGCAGACAGCAGTTTGCCCCTGTGGCAGGGGCTAGATGAAGACTGGCAGTGGGTCACTGAGGCAAGGTGGGTACAGGGGAACTGAGTGTTCCCTGGGTGTAGAACTGGGGGCCCCTGAGGAGGGGAGGACCCTGCACAGTGAAGTAAACAACTCCCCCCCCCCAGAAGGGGTCATAAAGAGACAGGAGTGGGCCCTGCCAGATGGCAGTGTCCTGAAGAGACGCTGTAGTCAACGAGAAACAGGGGGAGACACCAGCTAGAGAGAGGCGTCCAGCGGGCCAAACAAGCTAATTCCCAGGAGTGCCAGCTGAAGGCGCTATGTTGGTGAGTCTGCCCCTGATAGTCAGGAAGAATGTTCCCTGTGGACAGGTTGTTCCATAGTTGTCCACTGCAGCATTTGTTGCACCTTCCTCTGCAGCAACTGGTGCTGGCCACTGCCTTAGGAGAATGGATAGATGGACCCGGTCGCTATTCCAATGTTCTTAAATTAGGCACCTAAATCCACATGAAGGCACCTGATCTGCAGAAGTACAGAGCACTCAGAGTTTGCAAGGAACCAGGGTTTTTCACAACTATTAAAGTGACCTAACTTGTTCAAGCAGAACTCCTGTCAGTGCCATGAAACATCTGCGCTCGTACATCAGAGACTAGCCCAGTGAGAGCTCCAAACTGAAGCCAGGGGTGCATGAACAATTTGTATAGTGGGAGTGCTAAGAGCCACTGAACAAAACTGAACCCCTGTGGGTACGTCTACACTACAGCGCTAGTTCGAACTAACTTAGTTCGAATTAGTTAATTCGAACTAAGCTAGTTCGAACTAACGCATCTAGAACTAAAAACTAGTTCGAACTAGCGTTTTGCTAGTTCGAACTAGTAAGTCCACATTGAGTGGACTCTGAACAGGGCTTAAGGATGGCCGGAAGCAGTGCCGGCAGGGCATAAAAGGAGGACTTAGAGCATGGAGATACTGTCTCAGGCTAGCCGAGGGCTGCGCTTAAAGGGTCCCGACCCCCACCCCGGACACACAGTTCTAAGGGGTGCCCCGCTTGCAAAGAAGTTCTGGCTTGGAGTGCCCTGAGTGCCCACACTGGGCACATCACACCACTCGGCCATCAGCCCGGCTGCACTTGCCGCAGGCTGCCATCTGGGGAGAGGGAGTAATGGGGGGGCTGCAGGAGAGCTTCCACCCCCAGAAGCCCGCAGAGCCAGCCCAGTCCTCCCCATCGGGGGCTCGTACCCCATTCCTCCCTCACCTCCTTCCACTTACCCTTCCCTAGCCCCCCTTCTTATTGATGTACAAAATAAAGATAACGTTTCTTCCAACATTGACTCTGTCTTTATTGAAAAAAACTGGGGGAGACTGGGAAAAGGAGGTGGGAGAGGGGAAGAGAAAGGCTGGGAGAGGGGAGGGCAACTAACATGATCAGGGGTTGGGAACAGGTCCCAGATGAAGAGAGGCTACAGAGACTGGGACTGTTCAGCTTAGAAAAGAGGAGACGGAGGGGGGACAGGATAGAGGTCTCTAAAAGCAGGGGTTGGGTGGAGAGGGTGCATTCAGAAAAGTTCTTCCTGAGTTCCCATAAAGAAGGACTAGAGGACACCAAAGGAAAGGAATGGGTAGCAGGCTTGAAACTAGTAAGAGAAAGTTGTTCTTGACAAAGCAAATAGTTAACCTGTGGAACTCCTTGCTGCAGGAGGCTGTGAAGGCTACAACTAGAACAGAGTTTAAAGGGAAGTGAGATCAAGTCATGGAGGTTGGGTCCATGGAGTCCTATTAGCCAGAGGGTAGGAGTGGTGTCCCTGCCCAAAGTTTGTGGAAGGCTGGAGAGGGATGGCACGAGACAAATGGCTTGATCACTGTCTTCGGTCCATCCCCTCCAGGGTCCCTAGGGTTGGCCGCTGTTGGCAGACAGGCTACTGGGCTAGATGGACCTTTGGTCTGACCCAGTACGGCCATTGTAAGCTCAGGGCTCAGTGTCGGGGGTCTCAGTGGACCCCCTTGATTTTCATGCACACCTGGTCCTGGGTGGCCAGGCTGGCAGCTCTCCTGCCCTAGACGGCCACTTTCCTGTGCCTAGTGCAGAGATCGTGGACTGGACCTTCTCTAATTTCTCCACATCTTTCCTGAAATGTGGTGCCCAGGACTGGACACAATACTCCAACTGAGGCCTAATTAGCGCAGAGTAGAGTGGAAGAATGACTTCTTGCGTCTTGCTCACAACATTCCTGTTAATGAATCTCAGAATTATGTTTGCTTTTTTTGCAACAGAGTCACACTGTTGGCTCATATTTAGCTTGTGGTCCACTATGACTCCTAGATCCCTTTCTGCAGTACTCCTTCCAAGACATTCACTCCCCATTCTGTATGCGTGAAATGGATTGTTCCTTCCTAAGTGAAGTACTTTGCATTTGTCTTTATTAATCTTCTCACTGATACCAACATGTAGACCAGGGGTCTCCAACCTTTTTAAGCACACACTTTTTGAATTTAAGTGCAATTAGGGTTGCCAGATGGTTGAAACAAAAATACGGCCCCCTCCCCCCAAAAAAACCACTGTTGAAGGGGGGAAAAAAGAAGGGGGATTGGATTAAAATTGTTGAGCCAAAAAAAAAAAAAAAAAAAAGGACTCCAAGACTTATTAAGCAAAAATAAAAAAAAATTAAAATAAAACAGCATGTCCCTTTTAAGAGTGAATACAGGGATAGGAAAAGGGGAATGGTTGAGCACTAAGACCCAGGGGAGTCATTGCTTCCCCTTGGTCTTTTTGCCGGCAGCCATTTTGTGCCAGCAGCCTTGCGGAACCAGGTAAACATGGGGTCTGGAGTCAGGGGTCTGGGAGTGTTGAGGGCCGGGGGGAGGAGGCCGGGTGCTGAGTGTTTGTAGGGTTGCCAGGTGCCCGGCATTTTCGCCTCCTGGCCAGGGAAAAAAATCAGAAAATACTGGACATCTTAGGTGTCTGGTATTTTCTGAATTTTTTTACTGAACAGGAGGCAAAAATACCGGACTGTCTGGGTGAATACTGGACACCTGGCAACCATATGTATGAGCTGGCAACCACTTCCAGCCAGGGGATGCTATAGAAGTCCTGCCATTTCCTTGCCTCTGTAACCATGTCCCTCCAGCTCTGTGTGCCTCTGTTCTGTACCTAGAAACAGAGACAATTTGGTGTCATTTATTGTCCCCATTTTACAATTGGGGCCTGCCTACATTACAGGATGGTGGTGCATGTAAGCTGCTGACTCCCATATATTTTTTCAGAGTGTCTGGATAACACGGCTCGCATGCACGGGTTCTGCACTTAGCCTGTATGTAACAGAGGGCTGGATGGTCTTTTCCTCTGGACTGTAGCGTTCTGAAGAGGCTCTCAACACAGTGACCTGGAAGCCCCTATGAAATCCCTGCTGGTAACGTGTGGGGGGACCAAATACAAGCGGAGAGGTCAATAAAAGCTGAGAGCAGTAACAGAACGATCTGAGTGTGGCATAGGGAGCAGCCTCTGCGATTTACTGTCCAACCAGCTGGGTCCCCAGACTCAACTGTCAGTAAGTGGGATGATCCAGGGAAAAAACCAAAGAAGCTGACCAGGGTCAGGACACCAGCCCAGCAGGGGAGGAGTGGTTGAGGCAGTGACATCACAAAGGGCTGTTGCAGGGCCTCAGCTTATTGGGGGAAAGTGGTGTTTTGGTGGTGACCTCACAGAGAGACGCTGACAACAGCCAGGCAGGATGGAGGCAGAAGGCCAGGGCAACCTCAGAGAGTCCTGTGGCTTTGCAGCAGCAAGGATCCTTCTCAAGGTCTCCCCCTGAGGACGGATAGAATTAGGATCATGCACGTAAGCATGGCGAGGAACCTCATCGGAGTCGTCTCCTTCCCTAGTACTGACTCTGTGTAACCTCTTCAGAAGGTAAGAGTCTCAGGCTATGTCTAGACTACGGGGTTTTTCCGGGATACCTCCAAGGAACGCGTCTGCTCTTCTGACATTTTTGGCGGCAGAGCAGATGCGCTCTTTCAGAAGCCCTGTCTTCCTTGTGCCATGAGGAAGAAGGGCTCTTCTGAAAGAGGAGGTTTTTCTGAAATTTGGCCCAGTGTAGACAGGCCAGATTTTGGAAAAGCCTCTTCCAACAAAACTATTGGAAAAAAGTACGCAAATTGCCTCAGAGAGGTTTGGAGCCTGTTCTGTCTGATTCACCTATAATAGCTGAATTCCTGCATCTCCCTCACACACACCCAGCAACCAGCCCTAACTCCTGCAGCTCACGCATGCTCCCACAGCCTCCTGCCCTCACCCATGTGCACACACACACCCAACCTCCTGGCATTCACCCCCTCCACATACAGCCTCTACCTTGTCCTCACATACACCTCCAGCCATCCTGCTCTTCACCCACACACCCCCAGGCCTCCTGCCCTCCCTGACTCATCTTGCAGCTCATCCACACACTATCTGCCAGCTGCCCTGAGTACCATATACCCGCACAGACTCTCTCTCCAATGGGAATGAAACTGCATTAAGAACGAAAATCAGAGTTATTACTTTAATTATAAATATTTTATATTTGCAGTATTTTACATTACAAATCCTCTTCAGGTTTCAGTTTTTCTTCTCAGGTGGAATAAATTCACTTCTGCTCTGATGTGATGTCTGGGGCTCACTCAGAGACAGTCAAGGTGGAGCCTCTGAAGTAAAGCAGTTTTATATTCAGTGTATAACAGATTGGGACAACTTCCTCCATCCTTATTAGATTAGTCTGTCATGTCAAGTGCACAATCTACAGTAGAAAGTAATTGAAAAGAAATGCCTCCTAGGAATATATAAGCCCCCACCCCCACAAGGGAGGTGGGTTGAGATAGGAGAGTATCTGTAAGAAATTTAAGTTACTTTTCACCCCTGGCTATGGCTTATTCCAGCTTCCTCCAAATGAAACGAACTCTGTCAGCAAAAGCACAGTATTGCTTGTATAACTGCAGCTGTACTCAGGGCTTTTGACAGCACCCTTCAATTGGTCAGAAATCCCAGCTCATCACACCCTGACAGATTTATGCTGACAAAAATTGTCAGGGTAAATCTGATCACAGTAATCTCTGCTCCCTCCTGTTTGTGAGATGTTCAAGTTAAATAGATGGTAGCAATAAACTAGAGTTTTTTTCTCACAGTAACTCCTCAGTCTTTACTTCCTTTGGCCCTGTGAAGTGATAGTGTTTCTCCAGCAGCCAGTGGTCATAAAACACAGTGTGGAACTCACTGGATTATATTGGTCAGTGATGTGTTTTGCAGTCCTCCTTGTGCTTGAAGCTGTCCTTTGAATTCAGTTTCTTGACTGCCTCACCTATGAAAGTAGGAGAAAATAAGTTCTGAATTATCAGTTTCTCTGTCCCTCACCAGATGAAAACTGACTGATGTAGATGTAGAGTGCTTGGCAAGTCAGAATATTACTAAAGAAATATTCTGCTAAATATTTCCAAGAAAAACATGGCAGAATCATTGTTCTGTCACCATGTTACTAATGCCTGCCGCAGCAGAGAAGGAAAATGAAACATGACACTGCAGTGAATCTGCGTTTGAACAGGACTATCTTCATCTGTATTGTATCACTGCTCCTTATTATCAGTGTCCCCATGGTGATCAGAGTTACATATCTCATTCTGTTAGAGCTAATAACCTGGAGGCGTGGTGTGAGGGAGAGGGAAACACATTTTCAGGTAAGACTTATTAGCAAAAGTTATTTCAGCCAAAAAAATGGAAATTGCCATTTGTGTCAAGAGTTCGACGACTATTTCATAACATTCAGCATTCATTCTGATTTAACTACATTGAAGACAGTGTCAAGAAGTGTGAACTTTCTATGAACTTCTGGAGTTTTCCCACTGTTTTGCTAGATTTAGAAGCACTAGAGGGAAGTTGGGGGATATGAATAGTAGCTGAAAAGATATTCACAATCAAATCAGCTTGATCTGAATACCTGTTCCATTTGTTTAAGTTTTCTATAGAAAAATGAATCAATAGAGCTGGATTCTTATTTATGCAAAAGGCATTTTATACTGTACTGGCATTATAAAGGGGCTTTAAAGTAGAAGCAAATTTCCTTTCTAGCCACTTTACATTACCAAAAGAACAATGTAATGCGGCTTTGATTGAGGCGAACAATGATTTAAATATTAGCATGACATATACTTTGGAAATCAACTCAGACAGAAGGCTTGATTCTCTATTGTCTGTAGCTTGTGTAGTCATTTACAACAGGGCAAAATGAGTTCAAAATGCTACTGAATCAGAATGTAGCATATCACCCTCTTTTTGTTCTGGGAAAATAATTGCCCAAAATGCAAGGTAAAGCTGGGAAAATTTATGAGACTATAACTGGGTCCTGTGGGGACTTTACCCCAAAACCCCCTCCCTGGCTTCTGACAACCTGCTAGCCGCTCCCGTGGGCCAAGCCCGTAGGCTCTTCAGGGCCTACACCTCTGGTTCCAGGCTGGTCTCTTCCGGGTCGGGTCTCCGCTCCAGCTTCCAGTCCCCGGTGAAGGGCTCCACCCCGGTCCCCGGTCTGGGCCGCTGGGGCTACTCCCGGTCCGTGGTCTAGATGGACCTCTCGCCTTCGCTCTCCCAGGTTTGTCACTCCGGTGTCAGTCTGTGGGGGGTTTGAGAGCAACACCAGCCCCTGCTCTCCTCTTCCCTCCTTCCTTCCCCTCCTCCCTCCTCTTATCCATCCTTCTCGGTGTGTCCCTGCCCGGCGTCCATGCCAACCCAGTCTCCCTGGGTCCCATGGACCGCCAGTTCATGGCCAGGGGCTCCTGTGCCTGCGCTGACTTGCCGCGGCCTCCCTCCTGCTCGGGCGCCGCTCCTGCCTCCACGCCACAGCCCGCTGGCCCCGGGCTGCCTCACGTGTGGGTTTTAAATCCCCCACTACACGCCACTCCCGACTCCACGCTGCAGCCTGCCGACTCCAGGCTGCTGCGAGTGCAGGGGTTGGATCCTCTGTCAAACAGACCAAAACTTTTTTTGGCAAAAATATAGATTCAATGACACCAGCACATTTTGTGAATTACACTAGGTTTCACAGTTTGTTTCCATCAATAAACATGCTGAAAAAAGTAAAATGCAACATCTTGATTTTTTATTCCAACTTTTTTTGTTTTGAAATGTCTTTTAGCTTTATTTTTTTAAATTAAAAGTACAGTAGAATACTCAGAATCCATATGAGATGAAGATTATACAAATTAAATCTTTTTTTTCCAACTTTTCAAAACTGGAAATAACTAAGATTTTGTCATGGTTATTTTTAGTAAAAGTCACAGGGTGGGGGTAATAAATAACATTTCATGGAAGCTTGTGACCTGTCTTTTATGAAAGAGGTTTTACTATGACTTTTACTAAAAATAATGGTGCGTGTGTATGTTGTGGCTTTTTTTCATTGTGTGGCATGGCACAGGCAGGGTGACTAAGGGGGAGGGTTCAGATGTCATAGTGGGAGTTGTGACAGGCAGAGGGAGATATGGCAGTGGGATCAGGACGGGCCAGCTGAGAGGAATGAGGTTTAGACAGTTATGGGCTATTCCTCATTCCAGTCCTGCTCTCAGCCTCAGTGACTCCGGGAATCTTTACAACTGGCTATCCTGTCTGACAGTGCTGTTGCTGAATGCCAGGTTGCTATCCCACAAAACAGCAATCATCCAGGATTTAATCCTGGATGAAGGGGCTGACCTAGCCTGTATCACTGAGACCTGGCTGGGAATGGAAGGAGGGGTTGACTTCTCCCTGTTACGCCTGACTTGTTCTCAGTCCAACACCAGCCTCAGCTTGCCAGGCAGGGAGGGGGATTTGGCGATTGTCTATCAGGATACCATCTCATTAGCCAGGACCCCGGTCCAACAAAGTCGTAGATTTGAGTGTTTGCACCTGGTGTTGGGTGGCCGGGATAGGTTGGGTGTTCCGTTGGTGTACTGCCCACCTCACTGCCTGGCAGACGCTCTACTCAAGCTAGCCAAGGTGGTCTTGGATGTGGCATTGAGGACCCCAAGGCTATTGGTCTTTGGGGACTTCAATGTTCACGCCAACACTGTCCTGTCTTGTCCGGCTTGAGACATCATAGCCACCATGATGACCTTAGGACTATCCCAAGATATAACTGCCCCCACGTATGTGGCAGGTCATACACTTGATCTGGTCTTTTGGACTAAGGCTGATAGAGATCTCAGGATAAGGGATGTAATTACACTCCCTTTGTCACAGACCAATCGCTATCTGGTCAAGTTTAGACTATTTGCTGACCTTCCACTCCGCAGAGGCGGGTGACCAACTGATCCGGTCTTGGAGGCTGATGGGTGCAGAGGGTTTCCTGAAGTCCCTGAGGGATTGTTTGGCCATTATAGCTAGTGATCCTGTTTATGCCCTGGTCAATATATGGAACATTTAGGTCACCCTGCTGGTTGACATGATTACTCCTAAGTCCCCTTCTTGGGCTAGTTGAGCCAAGTTTGCCTCCCTGATTTTCTGGAGAGTTGCAGGAGGAGAAACAGGCTGTGCAACGGCTAAAGCGCTGTTGGAGGAGAACTTGAGCCGAGTTGGATTGATTGTTTGTTAGAGTCAAATTATGAGCCTATTCTGTGGTGGTGCTGACGGCGAAGAAAAAATACTTCTCTGCCTGCATCACATCTGCTCAGTGCCGTCCAGAGGAATTGTTTTGAGTGGTGTGGAGCCTCTGACAGCCTGGCCTTCATGATGGAAGCCTAATCCGAACTATCTAGTCCGTGCCGCGTGTAGCCGCGCGGCACGGGGTTCGCACTAGCCGGCTTTTAAAAATGGCGGCGCCGGCTTTATGCTAATGAAGCCCGGGAAATTCAAATCCCGGGCTTCATTAGCAAGTTCGGTATGCATACATTACCCCCCTAGTTCGAACTAGGGGGGTAGTGTAGACATACCCTGTGTTTCCTTATAACATAGAGTGAAACAGTGCTCTTCTGTTCTACCAAGCAGGGGCTGTACAATGCCCTAACTAACTCTATATCTCTTTTCCCACATCCTGGTGGAGCTACTTTGAGGGCAGGAGACTGATCTAAGTTACACAACTTTAGCTCTTAACTGCTGTGTCTTCACTCCGGTGTGTTGACAGGAGATACTCTCCTGTTAACTCCCCTTGTGCTTCTCGGCCCTTTGGAATATTAGAGTCAATGGGAAAGCGATTGGTGATTGGTTTATCATATTGATATTATACTAACCTGTGAATGTCACTCAGAGATGTAAAAAAATCCACCTCCCTGAGCAACATAGCTATTTTGACCTACCTCTCCACCCTCATATATGCAGCCCTGTCTATGGGGGAGCTTCTCCGACCAGCACAGCTACCACCTCTCAGAGATGTGGATTTACTATGCTGACAGGAGAAATAATCCTGTTGGTGCAGCAGTGTGTTCACTAAAGTGTAGGTGAAAACAAGTCCTCAGACTAGCAAGTGGAAGAAGGGACTGGGAAAAGTTTCAAATGTAGTATTTTTGAAAGTTTTAGTTTTAAAATTAAAATACCCAAGTGTGAGTTGACAAAGTTTTAATGTTTCATCATTCAAATGTTGTGTGGAAAGTCACAACTACATGTTAACTGTGGAGACCCTGCTGTGAATCCATAATGCAGAAACTCTAAAGCTATGTCTACCCTACCACGTATGCCAATATAACTAGGGCCCTACCAAATCCATGGTCCATTTTGATTCATTTCATGACCAAAGGGTTTAAAAATTGGTCAGATTCATGTTTTTAGATGTTTACATCTGAAATTTCATGGTACTGTCATTGTGGCGGTCCCAACCCAAAAGGTACCCAGAGGTGGACCTGCTCGCCTTCTCCCCTCCCCACCCTGCAGCCCTGACAGCAGAAGGGGTGGGGGCAAAGCTGGAAGGGAAGAGGCGGAGCCTCTCTTCTTCCAGCCACGCTGTCTGGGACGCTGCCTGAAAGAGCCTGGCATTCTCCCAGGCAGCTGCTGTGCTGTATCAAGTAGCATCCAGGAGTGGCTCTCAGGCCTGAGTGCCAGGAGGAGCAGCTGAACATACTGGGGGAAGCAGGTGCAGTGGGCGGACAGAGCTTCCCCAGGTAATATGGCTTTGGAGGGGGCAGGGAAAGCGCAGGGGCCTTGGCCTGGGGGCAGGATAGAGAAAAGTCATGTTAAGGGGTCACATGACCCCCATGTAGCTGGTATTCCCCTTTGTGTCCCATCCACGAGTGACCCCTCCAACACTTCCCATCCTGGTTGAGACTTGCAACTAGGTCTTCTGGCTGGGGAGCTTCCAGAAGCATGGGGAAATAAACATTTCACGGGGAAGGGCTTATTTCACAGTACATAATATATTTTTTATGGTCCAAGAAATCTGAAGGTTCCTAAATATAATTTATATTGCTCAGGTATCTAAATGAGCCACCACTGTGAACAAAATAAATTGCACTGATCTAAATCGCAGAGAGCGTCTCCTGCCAATATAACTACTACTGCTCATTGGGGTTGATTGATTAAGTCAATAGGAGTGCTCTGTCCCATTGGTGTAGGCCATGTCTTCACTCCGGAAAGATCGATGCTGCCATGATCGATATTCCAGAGTTCGATTTAGCATGTCTAGTTAAAACCTGCTAAATCAAACTCAGAGGGTGTCCCCCCATTGGCAGCTGGTACTCCTGTTCCTGCGAAGAGTAAGAGAAGCTGATGGGAGCATTTGCTCCTGTTGGCCTCCTGCTGTGGGGACAGCAGAGAAACTCGAATCAATGTATATCAACTCCAGCTATGTAATTAACGTAGCTAAAGTTGCATATCTTGATTCAACCTTCCCCTTAGTGTAGACCTGGCCTTAGAGTGGCTATATCCAAGAACTTACAGCAGCATAGCTGCATTCTTCACTGTGAGCTCTCTAGTCACTGTAGCCATAGCCTAAGTCAAGGCTAGGTGGCAAGAGTAAGCTATGACAAGGTAATAGGATGCAAAGGAGGAGGTTAAGGAGACAGAGGGTCAGATTCTCAGCTGGTCTAAATCAGTGTAGCACTGCTGACTTAAAGGATCTGGATCAAAGTTTGAACATATGCAGGGCACCTTTTGTCTGAAAGCCACTTGTGGCAGCAGGCAGGTAAAATACCCTGTTCATTTAGATTAGTCCTGTAGGGTTTGGCCGTACGGCAAGATCTTTCTGGAAGTAAATTAAATAGAACTCAATGCACAGCAAATCAATACTGAGATTGCTATAGAATAAATATGACATGGGCAACAAGTGTTTTGGATGTGAAATCTATTCCCATGTATGCAATAAATCTTGGAGCCAAATTGGTGCCCATAAATATGCTGTTGCGCTTGCTCTAACCCTTCCCCTCCCCACTTACTAGATAACTCCTCAGATAGACCTTTTGTAAGATCTGATAGGCTGACAGAAAATAGAACTGCCAAACCCTATGAAACTCCCACTAGAGATTTGGAGGAAGATGGATGGTACTTAAGCAATACAAAGACCGTGAAATCAAACCATTAAAAAACAATCTCGGAGCCACTCAACTTCTCTCACCTTTCTACAATGATAAAGGGGAAAAAAAGGGGCATTGAATATTTCCTTTTATCCTCCTCAGGCTGATATGTTGAACTTCTTAAAATTTTATTATGTGCAAAAAGGAGTTGCTAATGTTTTGGGAATACTTCTCTCCTCCTTCCCCAATCCTCACTCCTATTATATGAGTGCTGATGGTGAGAGTTGGACTTGAAGGAGCTGGAGTTAACAAAGTAACAGAGGCTTCTCTCAGCAGGACACAGATGAACGGAGAAGCAGACAATGAATAGCACCCTTCCACTTGTCTAATTTTTAGTAGCACTCTGCTCAGCTACTGTCACTCAGTCTTCTATGCTGATATCTCATGAAAAGCAGCAATCATAATGTTTTCCTGAGGAAACATTTTGAAGTGAGGTTGCTACAGTTCTAACAACCATCAGAACAGCCAAGGAAAACACACCTCTACTATATTATTAGTTCGTGTGCTGTTTTTAATGCTAGTAATTATATAATTTCTAGAAGATACCCTTGGCATAATGAGGTTGGTAATGTCGACAAAACATGCTTTAAATTAGCACATGCCAAAATAAGAGAGATTTTCTGTTTGCTTTCTATAACACTGGGTCTAGGGCTTTTAATGTATATCTCAGATCATTTAAAAATACATGGTGACTAGATGAAGTCACTAGATGACTTCAAAACACCGTAAGAGTGGCCTGCAAAAGGAAAAATAGATTAAACACTACCCTTTTTGGTTCCTGTGTGATATACAAAGACCTGTTTGGGGGACAATTTTTTTACATGAGAAATTCATGATCTATCTATTCTGTTTTTCCTGGAAGACTCGATAGATGACATGACATAGGATTATTACCTCAGACTCACTGCAATGAGATATGATTAATTCAGATACGGAGTGATTTTTATTCCTAATGGAAAAAAAACTTTAGGTTTTGTTTGGTTTTGTAAACAACTATTACATTCAAATACCTAACCCATCTGAGGGCATGTTTACATAGCAGGGCTAAAGTCAAATTAAGCTATGTAACTTTAGCTATGTCAATTGCGTAGTTTGTCGAAATCTCTTAATTCAGCTTTTGGTGCTGTCTACACAGCAGGAAGTTGAAGGAAGAACACTCTTCCTGCGACTTCCCTTACTCCTCGTGAAATGAGGGTTACCATGTGCTGGGGTAAGAAATCCTCCAGCTCAACATGATTTTGGAATAAAGGTTTGTAGTGTAGATGTTTTGTTATTTCGTAATGACTTCAGTTATTCCAAAATAGTGCAGCTGCGTAGACGTACCCTGAGAGAAAAGATATCTTTGTTAAAGATTTAATGCCCCTTTACAGCTAACAAAGGACAACTCACAGAACACTTCTTTGAGACCTCCAGTGGATTCTCCACCAGAAAAGACGACAAGAATTGACATTCCTGTTCTTTCTAAGGTAATACCCAAACAGAAAAAAAACCAACCCAAGTCTTCTTTATACATACATAAAGCAGGAAAAAAAAGTCTCAGAGGGGTAGCCTTGTTAGTCTGTAACTTTAAAAACAATTTTAAAAAAAGATAATGAGTAGTCCTGTAGCACTTTAGAGACTAACAAAAACATATGTATAGTATGAGATTTCATGGGCAAAACTTCTTCTTCAGATGAGCTGGAGTCTCCAGCTTCCAGCTTATCTAAAGAAGTGGGTTTTGCCCACAAAAGCTCATGATACTATATATATATATATATTTTGTTAGTCTCTAAGGGTATGTCTACAGAGCAAAGTTATTTCGAAATTACTATCATAGCATCTACACAGCCATTCTATTATTTGGAAATTAAATCAAAATAGTGGGCTTATTTTGAAATTGATAAACCTCATTCCACAAGCAATAATGCCAATTTTGAAATTGCTATTTCGAAATAAGTGCTGTGTAGACACTTATTTTGAAACGGGGGGCCTTCAGCCTTCCCAGGGTGCCCTGGTGGCCACTCTGGCCTCAACCAAGAACACTTCTCTTCCTCCCCAGAGCCCTTAAAGGGGTAGACTTTGGCCACAGTGCCTGTGCCAGCTCCAAGCCTGCCAGCCCAGAGCCAGCAGTCACTGCCCCTGACCCAGTGGCCCAAAAACATGAGCCAGCAAGCCACTGGCAGCCAGCCCTCCACTGCTCCCCCGGAGCAGTCAGCCAGCTCCCAGGAGCCTGCCAGGGCCCAGAGAAGGTGGGCGCCTTCCTGGTCCAGGGTGGAGACCATGGACCTTATTTAGGTTTGGGGGGGATGCCACCAACGTCCATGATCTCCACACTAGGTGGAGGAACACGTCTATGGCAGAATAGCTGCCAGCCTGGCAACCAAAGGCCACATGCGAACCCAGGAGCAGGTTCGCATGAAAATCAAGTTGGTCCGGTGAGACACCCAATCCTGATCCCTGAGCTTCCCTTCCCCCTTCTTCCTCTTGCTTCCCCCTTTCAGCTCCCTCCTCCCAGGTCTTCCCCTCCCCTCTCCCACCCTCTCTTCTCCCCTCTCCTGCCTCCTTTCTCCAGTCTCACCAGAGTTTCATTCCCCCCACCCCAGTTTTGTTAAATAAAGAGAGCTTGTGTTCATGAAAATACATGTATTTTATTTGACATCAGGAAGGGGGATTGGGGGGAGGGTGGGTAAGTGGAAGGATGTGAGGGAGGAATGAGGCACAAGCCCTCAGTGGGGCAGCCCAGGGAGGCTCTTGGTGCTTCTCAGGTTGGAAGCTCTCCTGCAGGGCCTCCTGGATACTGACAGTCTCCCGATGGAGCTCCCGGATGGCAGCCTGCAGAAAGTGCAGCCAGGCTCACAGCAACGTATCTAAGAGAAGCACCAGAGTGCCCACGGGCAGCTCTGGCTCCATGTTGCAGAGTGCTGTAGTGTCCCAAATGAGGAAAACCAGAGCATGCAGAGACAAAATGCTTTACTGTCCCCCATCGAGGTAGGCAAGCAAGCAGGAAAACCTGAGAACTGACTGTCCGGGAGGTGGGTGGGGAGGGTCCCTTTAAGCACAGGCCTCAGATAGCCTCAGGCAGCAACCACACAAAGTAACTCCTGACCTGATGCCCTGCCAGACCTGGTTCCGGCCAGCCTTAAATACGATTCAGCGTCCACTTAGTTTGGATGTGCTATTTCAAAATAGTAAAAAGCTATTTCGAAATGTATTTTGTGTGTAGACACATTATTTTGAAATAAGCTATTTTGAAATAACTATGTCAAAATTAGATATTTCGAAATAACGCTATAGTGTAGACATACCCTAAGGAGCCACAGGACTACTCCTCAGAAGAAAATAAAATAAAATTGTGATGCACAGAAACCATTTCCCTTTCTTTCAGGCCTTTTTTGAAAGCTAACAGTTTCCCACCTTTTTAAGCAGCTGCATTTTGTTTACCACATTAAGGGCCCAGTTCTGAAAGCTTCAGAGCACCCTCAAATTCTGTTGATGGAGTGTCAACACACTGCGCAATTGTTACTTGTAACCGTGGTTGTACCTAGCACCCACCAAGGTTTATTTTGTTGTACTAGCTTTCCGCCCTACACTGGGACTATTCTAAACCCTTGCCTTGTAATGCAGAGAAGTGATGGAATACCCAGGGCATAGCAGAGAGGCTCGCCATTATAGTAAAATCACCAGATACAAAAGCAGGTGAAATTACCAGACACAAAAGTATGATAATGGCTGAAAACTTCTGTCTTATGAAATGAAATGTGCAGCTGCGCATAAGGGACTTTACCACAATACTTAAGAGTATTTTCATATTGGCTTGTTTAAGCTATTCCTTTTTCCAATTTAAGTTTGAGGGCTGTCCAGTTTATCTATTCCTCAGCAGCTTTTGGATGCTTTCTGAAGCTCTGCTAGCACTCATAAATTTCACAGAAGGCCCTTTAAACAT